CCCAGTGTGTCTGAAAATGGTTTCATGGCACGCAGGAGTTGATAACTTGATAACAATAAACATAAATCATTTTTATTTACATAAGCTCTGTCACCTTTAATAATTCCTTTTTTGAATTAGGCCTACATTGGGTGCATCTTTTGAAACACACGTTGAGGATATATGTAGATTGCTTCTCATCTTTGTAAAGCCAAAGGCTAATAAATACATAATGAATCTTCAATAAGTAAGGCTGAACCTCTGTCTTTCATCTGTACACCCTGATGAAGAAAACCATGTTGGGCCAAGGGAGCAAAATCCACTGGGGATCCACACAAAGCCGACCTTTTCACACTTATTTCTTTGCCTGTCTGTCTGCAGGTGTGTTATTGTCTGTATTTGTCCTCTCTCTGATATTCGGTATATTGTGGAGCAAAACACATTTCCCGAAGATCCTGGAGCTATTGTCAAATAATATTGACAAAAAGTTACACTGTTGCACCTCTTGTCAGTGTAAATAATTGCTTTTTGAAAAACGAAAATCTGTCCCAACACATTGTAGAAGCAAGGAAATGTAAGGAAAACAATAAATGCATGTAGTTGCAATGAACAAGGGCAATGAAGTTGTCCAGTCCCAGAGGACTCTCTGAACTAAAACCTGTGGCACACTTTTCTTTTACCCCAGTGCATTTGCTTTTCCCCTGTAGGTTTGGCTGTTTGTTAATTTGTGAGTACAATCCTACAATTATTTCATGTTCAAAAAAATCATGCAGCTTTTTTTTTTTTTTTAAATGTCATTGCTGTAGGATCAAGATTTTTCACACACCAGGACATGGCCATGCCCCTCAGTCTGACGGAATTAGGTTATTGTGCTGATTTAATTTCCAGAGGGAACCACCCTGGTGGTAGGAAACATCATTTGCTAATTAACAAGAATGTCTCCTGGCGTTTTCAAGAAAATGACAGTGCTCCCAGAGGCTTGTTAAAACTGAAGTTCTGATAAGACGGCACGGCTGTAAACAGGAGTAATCTGCAATAACAGGAATGAATTCTCCAACAAGTGTAAAAGTAGAGTGAAAAGCAAAGTGATCCATATGTGCCCTCAGTCAATTGCTGTGTTGTCCTTAACAAGTGAGCTGCCTGCCCACCATAGTTCTGGTGCTTTTGTTTAGCAGGTGGAACATTTCTGTGTGGGGTTTATGGTTATTAGCAACGAAAGAAGAATTGAATTGGTAAATTTTGTGTGTTTGTTTGTAAGTGTGCTAATTTTAAAACGCAAGAAAAGGTGCTACATTTCCAATGGAAAATATTATTTCCTGTGGTTGAAGTATTTGAGGAATTATATGTATTGCATTTAAAATTAAATGTAAGTCTATACTACCAAACACATAGACACTGCTTTGTTCTCGTTCATTCATGTGCTATTCTACTGTTCTTGTGCTTATTTAATCATACACCTTATCAACAAGAGACAAATTTGAAACCTCTGACTAGTTTAATTCGAAGAGGTATAAGCACTTGGCTGAATCAATTCAGCTTGTTTATTAATCTATGCCTTGATAGATAAGCGTGCATTAAATGTTTCACACGAGAGTAGTAGCAACAACAATCAGCACACCACAAAGCTTTTGCAATCATGTTTTTACCAGCTCAGAAATATATCAAAAATACGATCGATGTTAACTTTTAATTAAGGACATGGAGACCATTTTTACGTGCCTTCATCTCAACACGCCTGGACTACTGCAACAGCCTTTTTACTAGCTTGACCCAAAAATCTTGATTGACTCCAGACTGTCCAGAACTCAGCTGCCAGGCTTTTAACCAGAACAAAGAAATATGACCATATCACCCCTTTTTTAGCTTCATTACACTGAGAGCTTTTATTTTATTTTTTTTATTCTATTTTATATTTACTTTTAACTTGTATTTTAGTCTCTTAAGTGTTTGCACTTGTGAAAGCACTTTGTAACTTGTTTTTGAACAGTGCTCTATAAATAAAGATGATTATTATTATTGTTATTATTATTAAAAGAAATGTCACTCAGCGGTCTGTAGTAAGGCTACAATGAGAGACTCAATGTGTATAGCTCCCAGTGTTTGGATTGAATGAGTGTGAAAGTGAGTTTGTAGCCTGCTGCTGGTATTGTGTTAATGCAGTTGAACAAGCAGTTTAACAAGAGCTTTTTTATGAAAAGTTCTAGTTTACTGATCCAGAGCTTTGGACTAAGTAATACACTTATTAGTTAAACACTATGAAGTAGGTAGGTAGGTAGATACACTATGTGAAAGTCAAATAGACAATATAATTTTTATAATGACAGAATAATCATCCTTTTAAATCATGCATGTACAGCCTGAAAAAGGTTTTGAAAGCACCATAAGTAGAAGTTAGCACCACTGAACATCATGGCCAAGATTACTTACCTTATTGTGCAGCTTAACGCAAACACGAATAACAACTAAATGTTCAGCCTGGTTTCATGTTGATAAATTGCCAGTGAGCGATGGTTTCAGAGGAATTTAAAGCAGCAAATCTACCAGGTCAAATTACCTAATCATAACTATCAAGGACAAACAAAGACAATGTGTTAAAAGAACAATGGGTGTGAAGATACGGCCAGAATACTGGTTTCGAACATTCACAAAATGAACTAACATTATCGACATAATGTGCAGAAGTAACAGTTCTGATGTTATGTCAAACATGTCTATGTATTGTGTTGCAGAGATATCTACTGAAGTTGGCATGCTAATGAGCTAGCCCTGGATCATCCTGTGTCGTAATACCTTTGTAACTAATTTCCATTACATTACCTCAAGAGGCAATAGTCCAATAGTACAGCTCAGCCCTCCCCATTTCAGCTGGGAGATGTGCATGTGGCAAGTTTTCTAGGTTACACTAGCTTCTTTTTAGTCTAATAAATAAAACCAACAAACAAAATACACTCACAAAATGTCAAGAAAGGAAATATTCTTACACATTTTTATTATCAAAAGACAAATAAAACTGTACACCTTCTGAATTTCAATTTCTCTCTTTCACTGAACTAATTGGCTTGTTAACACATTGTAAAACACACTTCATTCCAATTCAAATGTTGTGGTTAGTGTTTCCAACAATGACCAACTCAGATTTGGTCGTAATAAACCCTGCCTGCTCGCCAGCTCCAATCCTGGCGCCCATTCCAAGCTCGGCTATAGGACCTCTAAATTAGCTGCACCGCTAACTGAGCTAACTAGCAGTTAGCAGTAAGTATGACCTGATATGTGATGTGCTGACCCCTGTTTTTATGGAGTATGAATTTGACCGGTGAAGAGTACTCTCCATTCTTGCACGTTGTACCTTTTTTTTTTTTTTAAGTCTGGAGAATAGAGTTATTAAAAATAATTTTAATGTAGACAGTATAATGACAGTTAAGATTTTACAGCTGGCCCACACTTAAACAGAAATACCCATAAACTGTAGTATATTGTACAGAAGAGGTCCCTGGCTGCACTCATGTGCTCTTCCATATTGTTGATGATACTGAGCCGAGATACCATCTTGTGTGGTGTTGGGGTGGGCAGCTAATGGAACCAGCTAGAATCTGAATTTAAAAAGGGAAAAACAACAAAAAGGTTTCATAAAGCACCAACAATGCTACAGACAACTTACCTCTGTAGAAATGTGTTTCTTTGTGTTTTTTGATTATATGCATCTTCTTTAAATTGCTGCTGGTACACTAGACCTTACCATCAGCTAAATGTTTTTCTTTTTTAGTTAAAAAGAAAGAGGTAAGTCAGTTTAACAAATCAATTATACAATGCTAAAAGATGTAGTAGCTTTACTGACATTATTTAATGTTCCTACTGAGAGGTAAACACAGTCCACTAACATTGTGCTACAGTTGCTTATTGCCAATGACTATTTCTTTTGTACAAGGTAGGGTATACTTAGATGGTATATCTAATACATGAAAATAAGTTGACATCGTTGGTGTGCACAATCTTGCAGAAACCTTGTATGATGTAAAAGGCAGCCATAGAGGTTTTCCACAAATGTTTCATGAACTTTGGCCTTTTCAGCCAGACTGCACTGAAACTATTTCAAAATACCACAATGAATCTGAATCACTAGTTTAACTGAAATTTCATATAATTCAATACAAGAAATGGGCAACATGGGGATTATATTTTACTGCACAAACAATGTATAGAAAACATTTAAATGCTCAGTAGATTCCCAGGGTAACTGGAGGATGTGAACTGTCAAATACAGATGTTGTGAACATATTTAACAGTGCATCTTGTTATTGTACATAAAGATGCATAACAGCATTCATTAGAGCAATTAGCGAATCGGATGCATATTCTAATAATGAGCCAATAGTGATACAAAGAATTTATAGCCTTCATAGTGAACTGCATTAGACTTGTTATCATAGGGGCTGTTCTTCACTACTAGATGCCACAAAGCAAACAGATGTTGTACACATTATGTTTTTTTAAATTGACAGTATAACAGTAGATCTTCATGTGTAAATACGCTGTACTGCAGCTTAGTAACAACACTTTCAGTATCTTTGAGGGCTAAAAACAAACTTTGCAGTCACATAACAAGACCATTCACTGGGAATAACTATACAGTATTGTTTGTAAATAAAAATCCCAACTGAATTATTAGTTGAGTTTGAACAGTGTGAATAGCAGATTTCGTTAGCAGATATAACGTTGAAACGCTGAAACAGTTGATTAATTATGTGAAAGAATAATTTGGTGCACTAGATATAGATTTTTAGGAAAATTGTGCATACAGTTGGGTTGGAAGTTTGGAAGAATATTAACAGCTACAATTGGGACTTGAGAAAACATAAATACACCTTTTTTATACTAGCATTTCCCACTTCCCACTTGTGTATCAGCTATGAATACAGCCTTGTCCTCAGCTGCTTGAAATAGTCAACTGCATGAGTAAGACTTGCAGGCAGGCGTGAGCATCTTTTTATATTGCTTGGCTAGAAAATAAGTGTAACAAATGATCAATTGCACCAGAAAACCTTGTTTATTAAAACATTTTGCCAAGTGTGGCATGAATCCAGCGTCATCCGTAGTTCTTTTATTAAGAGTTCTTGGTATGGTACAACCACAGCAGCAGGTAAATATTGTCATGTAGTAAGTTGTTAGGGTCAGTCAAACAAAAGCTTTTATATGTCTTTAGTTGACCAATTTATTTGAGTGGTAACAGACAAAAAAAACAAACTTTACGCAACATTTTTTCATTCATCCCGACAAAACTTTATTGACTATTAACCTCCAATTCTGGAAATGTCAACTGCTACCGTACCACTGGTTTCAGACTGTCCAAACCAGATACATTCAATAAATGTGAGATTTGGAATTAAATCATATACATTTGAAAGATGAGAGTTTTAACTTATGATACAAACTCTGAGCCACCATCTTCACACTGACAAAATTTCACACTGAAACTTTTGTTGGTGGCATAATGGATTACTAACAATAAAACCAATCACCATTCTAATACTGGGGCTTCATCTACATTAAATTCTAGGATAATCACACACATGCTGGTGCTGATGAGAGGCACTATTACACCAATACAACACTGGTTCAACAATGCAGCTACTTCCCCTAGTACTCATAGAAATATATGTATCAGTAGGTTGTCTGTTGGCAGTGACTTTGTATGAATGCATTTGGATGGTTTCCTTCAAAATGAGACACTACATTAACAAAACGAAAACAAACCTTTTAATGTATTTTAAGTCATTGAGGTGAACAGTAACACTTTGGCCGACTGATTCCTCTTTATTTTAGAAATGGTGAATGGTGAACTTAGCTAATGAATCTGTCCAAAATGGATGTAAAGCTTTTTTCGAAACAAACCTGAAAACATAATTTTGGACAACATTTATGTCTCCAAAGTCTATTGAAATTGTGTGTGTGACCCACCCATATCACTAATGTTTTAAGTTGTTTTTTAGACATTTTGAATGACAATCAAAATGTAAGTGATGTTTTGGATTTTAGATGAGAGTTGAGAGGGTCTAATTCATTTTTAGTTTTAAGTCTAAAAATGTGCAGTGAGCTCTCAAAACGTCACTTATCCTCAAATTGTAACTGTGTTCTTACTGATTAACTTGTGTACTGAGAACTACTAGATCTTTCATTTCAAATACATTAATTAATAAACAAAATATCTAGAATTTGGACTGGTTAAATGATTCAGGTAAGTGTTTCAAATTTATCATCCCTGGACACTGCACTAGATCCTACACCCAGCGGTGTAGCAGTGCCAAACATTTCCAGACCGTGTCTATAAATTGTCGAGTTAAGTTAATCAATACTCAATTAACCACAGGCTACTCAACCTTGATTAGATAAACAAGGATGTTATTTTTTTTCATTTAGACAATATTGATGTAATAGAAATAGTATTAATATACTTAAATTTTAAGGTCCATTGATATCTAAATAAATATAACAGTACTGTGTCGTGTATGTTTCATCACCGTTATGAGTAATGTAACTATTTGTTTTAGCAGTTGGATTATATAAATATTGATGACAGTATATTCATCACTGTGCCCTCCTGAGGCTGAGTCCTGTTACAGTACATTTCACCTTTAGGGGGCCTCTTAAATGCTGCCCATTAAATGCACAACTGCACATTTTACAGCCACCCACGGTCAGCAGCTACTGTCTTTACTAATGCAGACTCCTTTTAAGACTGATATTTAGACAGCCCCTCATACGGTCACTTCTGTCTTGCTGTTGGTGACAAAGTATGGTTGTGGAGGCATGTAGCGAGTGGTGTGCAGCTCCTTCTCTATGATGCAGAGTTTCTTTGGGCCATAGCTCTGTCTGTGTCCCAGCGTGTCCTTGCTTTCCCAGGATCTTAGCACCCCTGGGCTGGCAGCAGTGTTGGAGCTGTAGGACAGCGTCTGGGAGCTGTGGCTCTTGGGGCTTTTGTACTTGTGTTCATTCTGCTTTGCAGACAGCTGTCTGGGTGGGCTATAAGGATTACTCGGCTCAGGCTCCATATCCACAGCTTCCATGGGAAGGCTGCCCTTGGTGGTCATCTCGATCACTTGCCGCCGGTTGTTGTAGAAGCTGTGATTAGCTTTCTCTGCTAACAAATACAGATAAACATTATGATAGTTCTTTGTCATTTCCCCTTATTAGCCGTTGAATCGCATCCTGAGTGGAGAACTAGACAGGCTCCTAAAAATAGACCTAAAGTAAAATTTTGTTGCTAAAGCATAAAAAAGTCTAGTCCAACTTCAGAACATCCGGCATCAGACAGTAAAAATAGGAGCTTAATGTATGCAGAACTTACATTGATCAGCCAACACAAATTTCGTAAATGTCCATAAAGTCACACAAAAAATATTTGCGATTTGCAGTTTAAGACATTGTTGGCTTTACCATCCAGATAAATGTGTAAATTCCCTTGATTACTTTAAAACAATAAAGGAAATTAGAAGTCTGCTATTATTTTAAAATATTTTGCCATCATCAGTGGCATTAAGCAAAATAGAAATTCTATGTTAACCTCTGCTGTAATGCAGTAATTCTACTTAAAATCATGTTTAGATTCCTTGACAGAAATAATACATAATGTTTTATTTGCTTTAAACAAGGAACTCCCTTTCCTGACTTGTCTTTGATTGATGTTTTACGCATGCATCTTTTTAGGAGAATATAAACTGTAAATAACAATATTGATTACATTATTTTTTTTATCAGAAAAACATGCAGAGGTCGTGGAAGTACTTCATCAACCCTGGGTAATGTCTGCAGGTATTAATTTAAGGTTGGATTCAGCCCTATCAACCTCCACCAACAAGTTAGGGCAGCATGTGTGTAGCCTGAGAGGTGAAAACCAGGGCAGGCATGCCAAGCACTGGTTGCACCACTAATTAACATGTGATGACATGACATGTTCTCCCCATCCCCAGTGGAAATTATGCCCTTGGTGCACAGTAGCGTAGTGTAGAATGCTAATAGTGTTTACTAAATGGTGGTGGCTTCACACAACCTATTACAGGAACTAAGAACATGCTTAAATATATATTTTCACATTATCCTTTCTTGTCAGCCACTATGTAAAATTAAATTTGTACAAATTAAAAGACTCAGTGAATTCAAAATCAACACTAAATTCCTTGATGTTTTCGTTTCCCCTCCAGTCAGCAGTCAACATGGCCAACATCGCTTGTAGTATATGTGGACATAGAGCTTGCTCGCTGTATTTTAGGACGAGGTGTTAGCATTTGTGATTTTCTGCGAACATTTAATACTTTTTTAATGAAATGTCTCTAGTCTTTAATGTGGTCTCTTCATCAACAGCAGGCTGTGTCTGTGCTCTGGATCACTTTTCATGATACAGGAAATAGATGTAGTGATGAGCAGCAGCTACTGTAGTTCAGTAAAATCCACATCAGTGATGGTAGATGAACACATACAGGCTGTGTGTTGTGTTATTTTCAGGGGACAGCATATTTACACTGTTATACAAGCTGTACACTCACTACTTTACATTGTAGCAAAGTGTTATTTCTTCAGTGTTAAAGATATAATCAAATATTTGCAAAAATGTGAGGGGTGTACTCATTTTTGTGAGATACAGTATATTACAGTATATTACAGATACAATATATACAGAGGCTCACATGAGTCACCGTGCATAGTATAGTTTGGGTTTTGACTGCTCCTGACTGTTTCCTGTCTTGAGTGTCATTAGTTAAGATTTGCTCTATTTTTATTTTCCCTAATGATCAGGTTGTTTGACGGCACTCCACTGGATTAGCAGTGGAGAAGCATCAACTGCTCCTGTGAATCACAGAGAGTGAGCTGTGTTATGTGATTGGGCCTACTACACGTATGCTGATAGCTGACATCCCTTCCATGGCCAGGTCTGTTAAACACAGCTAATGGCTTCAGGTAGGATCTATAAAAAGACCTGTTTGACTGTGCTCCACATTTTGATTCTGCTTATTTCTCTGATTTCTTTTTTCTCTGCAACTTTAGAGTTAAGAGTGCAGGCAAAGATTACGGCCAAAATAGAGGTCAGGTAAATTTATGACTATTTGTTCTTTTGAAATTCTTCTGTAATTATTATTTTTGCAACAGAAATCAATATGAAAGGTGGTGCAATTTCAAAGTTTTACACTTTATTAGTCATGTAAAAATGTCCACTGAAAATACATTCTTTAGGATTTAATATTACAAAGGGAGTTTAGGTTTTAAGTTATAGCACATAATGTGGTAAAATGATTGGGTATGTATGAACAGATGACTCATTCATTAACAGTGATGATTATATGTGTCTGACTATATGTGCTCAACTCTACTGTAACATACATGTTATCATCATTATCATTATTTTAATATAATTTCAAAACACATTATTTCCCTAAGGGTAAGTTTATTATTTTGCACCACAGTATCCTTCTTGTTTTATTTTTTGATTTGCAGGAAGGTATTTTTATTTACATATTTAGACAATACAAACACGTTAGTTTTTTTTAAGACTATCAAAATCATTCTGCACCATCTTGCTGAGTAGTACTATTTTGGTATCTGCTATTATTTCCTGTTTCAGATGCTGTTTGTCCAGGCACTGGCTTGAGACTATCCAAAATTAGCACATGAGAAGAACAACAAACTTGCCTCTATAAATAAACTTTTAGTGCCCCTCTCTGTTGGCATTGATGCGCTATGGATTAACTGACAAAGCCAGAGATTTGATGAAGATTCAAAGCAGCGAGCTTCCTATTTAAAGAAAAGGACAGTTTTGAAGTACATATCTAACAACACATGTTGTGTAAACAGGGTTCTTGATGTATCTGAAGTAGATAAGAAATAAAAGAATGAAAAACTTCAAAGCCACGTTGTCTTACATAATTTTACTGCCAAACTAAAGGGAGAGATATTGCGATGAAGCTCACTAATAACTGCAGTTAGCAGAACATTTTAATAACGTGTTTATCATCTGTTGAGACGAAATACAATATTAACCACATTTAATTTAACAGAGATCCCATAAAACATTTTCTGCCTCATAACCTTATAAACCTGTCCTCCTGATTACTTAGATTACAGATTCTGTTGTTTCCGGTTCAATCAATTAAACCTCGACACTCCTCTTTATATGATGCAGGGAAATCCTCATTCATAATACTAGTTTTATTTATTGAGGATGTAATGTGCAAATCAGATCAAATGATGAATGGCAACTGCTTTTTCATCATTATGGCTCATTGTAAACAACTCCTTACCCACAGCCTTGAGCGTGGCATACTTGTTGAGATCCTTGACAGGCTTCTGCTGCTCATAGGGGCTGGTGATCTGTCCTACAGTCGGGTAAGGCTGTGTTATCAAAGTCGTTGCTTGAATCATGTTGTTCATCTGGTTGCTATCTAAAAGAGAGAAAACACAAGGCATTAATGCAGATATTAAGACACTGTTTCGGTTTGCAGCGACAAATTCCCTTAAGTCACTGAGGCAGTATGTTACAATGTGAATATAACATTTGCATTAGCTAATAAAAGATCCGATAAAATAAATACATAATTGACAAATGGTCTCTAATCTTATATTTAAAATATTGTTTTACAGTTTAATTATATATTTATTGTTTATTTATTTCATTTAAACTGGCTTGTTTTCCTTTTACGTGACTGTTGCATGATGTTGAATTCCCAGAATATAAATCAGCGTGATGGATGGATGTGTGTATACAATAATTTTTTCTCTAACTTGTGTCACTTTCCCTTAAGAAGGCTTTTCTGGGGACCCAGCTGGAGCGTCATGATTGCTCTTTGTAAAACAATACTAATCCTACAGTAGACATCTGGTAAATTAAAGGGTGCACAGCAAAAAGACTGGCCCCCTGCCTACTGGCATGACAGAACAAACAGATGTTCAGAGTGTCTTCTCTTCATTTGGATTGGAGGAGATTAATGGCACATACCAACTCCCAGGCAGCAGTTTGAAAAATATGTGCCGTGTGTTCTACATATACGAGTAGAGATATCAATATATTTATGGACCAATACTTAATGCGGATAGTTTGGGAATTCTTTAATTACTTACTCCTTTTTAAGCTTGACCAAAAACAAATTGACCGTTATTCTGAATCAGCAGTCATTCATTTATTTCTTATGATGCAAATGGTTTCCTTTAAAGGTAACCTGGCTCAGAGGAGTTGCCTGTATTAATCCACTGTGAGTCCAGCACAAATAACTTGGATGGGAAGATAAAAATAATTGTTCATGAACTCATCTTGGCCATTGTTAATGGTTAAAGTTTACAAACTTTAAAATGTGAGGGGTTCACTAGTCCTTGGTCTAGAATGTGTCTGATAAAAACAGATCATTAATACAGAAAATAGGTTAATTAGGCTCTTATTCCCCGCTGGTCAGCAAGAAACTTTATTACTGTGCTAATTAATTTGGAAAGTCTCAAATTATCAATGCTGTCTCATGAAATGATGCAGAGGACAGCTTTGATAATTCTTTCACTTCACCACACCTCAACAAGGAGGTAGTGTAATAAGTAAGATCCGATATCGAGGTCACTTAAGGTAGCAAATGATTGATGCCACTACCACTGGGTTCTCCTTATGATAAGGATTTCTTTTTAACAAGCTCCGGTATAATCCAGATTTATTGACAGCCTTATTAAAAACTGCAGTCATTAAGAAAGACAGCACAGCACTTTCATGGATAACTTATAATTAAACTGTGTGATGGATTTATCTTTATAAACCCTCAAATGTGTTTAAAATATAGTAGTTTCTGGATTTTGGAACACAGTTATGTGTAATGTAATAGCAGCTGACCATCTAATATTAGTATTTATTAAATGCCATGTCGTAGCTGACTGCCCGTGGCTGCTTTACTTAGAAAAAAACACATTCTGAAAATATGTAACAAGAAATCTCTGCATCAAATCTATCCGTGTTACCTTGTCAGGTTCCTTTCTGGGCTTGTTGACCTGTTTCAGTTTCATACAATTCTTTGTAAGTGGGCCATCCACACATGCTCTCATTCAATTTGATCTTCTTTAAGCTAAAAGTCAAATTAGAGTATCTGCTTCCATAGTATACATTGATTTTACTTCACTTTACTCCACAAGGGTATCCCTTAAAGGTAGAGTCATTGTTGTTATACACTGAATGCTTTGGCCAAACTATTTTGAAGCCCAATATTGTCAAAAACATTTATTTTTGAGCCTGTCTGGATGTCTCTTTTTCTGCTATATCTAGTCCAAAATGGGAGTAGATTTTACTGCAGTTAATAAATGAGGACAGGGCTTTTGTTAACGCCTTGTGCAACTTTCAAACTGGTGCTATTTTCAGGATGCCAAAGTCAATTTAAACTGAGGTGCTGATGTATGTACTTGTTTATCTCCCTCTTTAATGTTTATCTGACTTTGTGTTGACGGAGTGTCATTTGTGCTTGTACTGTTGTCAGAGTCAAAGCTTCTATGTCAGCCGCTGGAAGAAAGTAGGCCACTTCTGGAGACTTGTAAGGTTAAAGACTCCATGGTTGTTGCGGGAAATAAGCAAGTTAACACTCCAGACACAGACGCCTCCCTGCAACTCATAAAAAATTTAAGGGAGTATTTCGGGAGCTGTATGCCCTGAAATAAATGGTGCAAGGAGAAGGGCGCTCTTATTTACAGGCACCCTACTTTGAAGTTAGTGATGAAAATATTCTATTATCTTAGTCAATATCTTGCCATTTCTGTTAGACTCCTGAAACTTTTAACATCAAACATTATAAATATTAGTAGTTGAGCCATGTGTAAATTGTTTGATAAAACATCTTTTCATTAAAATTAACCCAGTTATTAATAAGGTATGGGTAATCTATTGTGGACAAGCTTTTGTGTTTAACTATGTCTTAAAAAACCAAGATGTATAAAACAGAATTACAAAACACTTAAAAACTTTATTTTGGGTTGATGTCATCATTATAAAGCAATATAAAAGTACAGAGTTCTTTATTATGTTGATCATTAGTTTAAAAGAGTAATTTCTGCTGTTTTAAATTATGTACATTAAAATAGTGTGTGTGTGTGAGTTTACCCTGTCCTGTATCTACCCTTAACATACTGTAGCTCTGTGGCAGAACACACTCATAGTCTAAGATGGACAAAAAGATTTACACTCTAGCTCAACAAAGTGAAGTATTTGAGCTGTATTGATCCCAGTAACCTGATTCAATCTGAAACATATAGACTAATAAGAACATTTTATGTTGTGCACCTCTACATTCATCACACCACTGCAGCACCTCTATGTTATTGTGAATCAAAGCTACAAAATCCACAGTATTCAGAACCATTTTTGAAACGTCTGTGTAACCCCTATCTGGTAAATGTATGTTAAAATAATACAATACATCACAATTTCTCAGTACTGTGTCATAGCCATCACTTGGCCTTGGCCTATAACTTCGGACTTCCATTATTGAGTTCCTACAAAAAAAAAATCAAAACAATGTTCAGTCATAATAACTATAGTAGGTGCAGAATGTTTGTGAAATTTACTGTCAGGATGGTGTAAAAAGCTTTTTGTTTTTTTGGTTTTTTTTTTTACTATAGACTTCCCAGGCATCATTTGAATTTAAACATGATGTTTGGAGATCACCGCTCAAAATGTAAAGAAATATCACCTCATATTTTTTTATAATTAATTAATATAGGATACCGCATTCCATAAAATGTTAAGATAAAAACAAAAACCTCGTCTACACCCAAAAGGTTTTCTCTATTGTCAGTTTGTAATTATCTCCTTTTAAAGATTTGAGGCTTCAATATACAGTTCAGAGTACAGTATATGGCAGGTGGAAAATAGGACCCTGGGTAGACTCTACATTTGGTAACAATGTCTCCGCTGCTGTCAGAGGTAATGCTGCTGAAATACATTTCTATCTGGCAGTGAGGAAATGGACTGTCATGCACCAGTGGAGTGTTGGCAGTGAGTGGAGACTTTGTTCTCTCTGGCTGACTGCCTGGAGTAAAAAGAGGCCACACTTCACAATTGCCCCATGTACGCCCATGGCCAGCAGGACATGAACATGATAGTACTGCTATCCAAAGAAACCCAGCTCACAAAATCTGTATTACTGGTGTCTTGAGGAGAATGAGAGCTCATAGCCCAGCCTAACAGATTTTTTTTATCTTTGACAGGCAACAGATGAGGAAAAGGGAGCACCCTCTCGAGCATTTCAAGCACTGATTTGCACCACTATCCGTAATATACAGGCACTGTTATAGCTGGAGTATGGTCACACCTGCCACTAGAAAGCACAGCTGGAGAGGACAAGTGCAGGACAGATCCATGTGACAAAAAAAAATCACCTTACCGTTGGTAACCTTGCATGGATTGCTATCAAGAAAACAATAATCTTTCTTGTGCTGTTGCCAACTCTGTTAAACAGAATCCCTCCCTTACATGCCAGAAGTCTCCTTCTCCAAGGTCACCAAGCAAAAAGAAAGCTAGAACATTATTTCCTTCAGTGTAGTCATTTTTGAATTAAACAGCAAATATTCAGCTTGAATAAAACATAAATCTTTTTAACATTTATACTGCGAAAGTGCTTGTCTATGAGTTCCACAGCCCCTAGAGAGAGATCCATCATACAAAAGTTATCTGGCTTGTGGTTTCCCTAGAATCTACACTATGTGGCTATGTTGAATGCAAGTTTAATGTTTGCAAATTTACTCAAACTTCTACATTAGAAATCTCTTTGCAAGTAAGTAAAGTATGGTGTGTAAACAGTATTATTGCAATGCAACGATTGCCTTTACACTTCTATGGCCAAGAAACATTCTGTTGTCATTTTTTCCAGATTATTTTATATATATATATATATTAGTGTAGAGTTTTGTTCTGATGACAGAAGATAACTGCACATTTTTCAAAGCAGTTCAATTTTTACTTTTTTACAAAAGTACATTTAAATAGGTGTGATGACTGCACTTGTTTGACAGTACAATGATGTCATGTTATTTCACATTGATCATTTAATTTAATTTCATCATCCAGGAACTGGCAGGAAAATGGGATTTAAATCCTTAGTGCATTCAGCTACAATTTGTGTAATGTCTGTTCACTTCAACAGATACTGCTTTTGTGTACAAACTGGTACACAGGCAGAATATCATTAAAAACAAATTCTAATGTGCACTTAGAAAGTACATTCATCAGAGCATTGTTATATTGAATTATGCTACACTATATGTTATACTAAAGGTTTGTATATTGTTCACAAAAGAAAGGATACAGTATTTTTTTTTTCTGAAGGTCATTCCTCTCAAGTTGTTGGCTGATTTTAAATAGACTGATAATTATTCTGTGAGGAGGCAAGGTAGGGCAGAAAGTGGTATGATTTCAGAATGATTAATTATCATCATGTCAGTGCTGACACCTCAGCTGATTTTTTGAAAAAAAATCTCCGCTACACCAAAAAAAGACATCTACCTCTTAAAATAGGACCCGTTTCCATTTTTTAGGTTTAACTTGCATTTCTCACTTCAGAAATATTTGTAGTAAATATAATGGGATAGAAATATGAAATTATGAATACAAAGTTGCAAGGTGACATAAAACACTCTGGACTTGTTAAAAGACATTTAGGTTTAAGTTACAGCACATGTAGAAACATCAGTGTGTGTGTGTGTGTGTGTGTGTGTGTGTGTGTGTGTGTGTGTGTGTGTGTGTGTGTGTGTGTGTGTGTGTGTGTGTGTGTGTGTGTGTGTGTGTGTGTGTGTGTGTGTGTGTGTGTGTGTGTGTGTGTACTGTCATTAACCAAGTGGTTTGTTACATAACACTTCCGCAACCAAGTAATCTGTACATTGCCTGGATTGCTACTATTTAAGAGACTACTCATCAAGATTTATTTTTATAATTATGATGATTATTGTTTAAGGACATGTTTGGCACAGCAGTTTGGGTTAATGAAAAATGTGTTATTAATCTGTAATTTTCTTGATTTGTACTAAACTTGTGCATTTGAGTTGAAAATATTTGTGCAGCCAAATCCTGGTTATATGTGATGAAGTAATTTGAGATCATCTGCCATGTTTGCCAAGAACAGGCAGGTTTTTCTTCCAACCACAGATTACACCAGGTGTTTTCACTAATTAGCAAACCTTCCAAACTAATCAGTGAAATCACCTGATGTCCTCTTCAGTTGCGATGAGAACATGCAAACTTCCGGCCTTCCACAGTACATGATAATCACTGATATTTATTTGCATTTGCCTCTCATAAAACATCTTGGGAAGCATCTAGATTAAGGATTGTCATTTATTAAATTTATTGACTGTAATTTTATATTGTAATTTAAGCATTAAGTCACAACCTGGCTCTTCTGTATAGGAAATGAGGATCTTTTATTACATGCTCATCAGGAAAGTTTATCTTCTGTTGATCCAAAGAATTTAGCTTAATTTTAAAAGACAGTTATTCAGACAGTTAGAATACAACAATGCTGCTTGACTGTGTCTTTTTTTTTGTATGAGAAGCCATTTGCCGTAATTACCCCACTTGCGGAGAGAGTAAGGGAGGGAGGCTGAGAGACCTTTTGTTGACTGGAGCTGACAAGGCAGCACCAAGTAAGCAGGTTAGCAGTAATAAGAACTCTTTTCCATCTGTGTGTGTGGGTGTGGGGGGGGGGTGTTGGCGTTGGTGTTGATGAATAAGAGAATGACAAGTGCGATATAATGTGCGAGGCCATTGCATACAATAGGTATTGGTTAAGAAACAGTTCTAGGTTGTCTGTGGTAATTAGTGTGTACGTATATAAGTTAAGTGAGTGCTGAGGACATGACTGCCTCTTCCAGTTGCACAGCAAATGTGCAGGGCTCACAAATTTAGATTTATATATATAAACATATGTTTCTTTTAATATCGGTCTTTATGAGTATCTATTAAAATTGGTTGTGGTCATAAAATTCAATTCTGAAAGTGAAAACCAGACGGCGGCAGTATTAGTAAATAGAAACATGGAACCCAGCACATAAACAAACTCTTCATGTGAATGTGTATGTAGGTGTGTAGCTAGGTGATTTCACAGTACTTACGGAGACTGTTAACTGTGACTCTGGTTTGTATGTTCTCATAGTGCTGGCCAAGTCCAATGCTGTCCGTAAGTTCTGAGGCAGGATGGCGGATAACATGCGCAAGAGCTCTGGAAAGATGGGAAAACAATCTCAGAGAGGAAATCTTGCAGTAAATAACAAGTACAGATTCTGTGCAGGCCAGCAGTGCACTCCTTTCCCTAATAAGTCCTCCGAAATGACAAAGTAAAGCGTTTGTGTGTGCCTTTTGAAATAACCGTTCCAAAACAAATTATAGGAGCATTTTTTATCTGCCGCCTCGAGGTTTACAAAAGTTATCTACTTTGTTAAGGTTGGGGAAAGAAAACCAACAGGGTAAACTGAAAACAACTTTGGTGTTTGGTAGGAGACAGGAGGCAGCATCCCATGGTTTAAAAGATATTCCAGCGGTTTAATATTGTTGGTCAAAATTGAAGCAGCACAGGCTAGGAGATATCCTGACTTTTTGTCCTTAGGATGTAAATAAGTAAGTAAACTTTATTTGTATAGCGCTTTTCACAGACACAAGTCACAAAGTGTGTCACAAAAACATACAAGAATGGAAAAACAGAAGCTATAATGGCAGGTTTGTGAAGAGGTGAGCTAAAAATACAATATGAGGTTGGTGATGGCGCAATGGATAAGACACACGCCTTTGGTGTTAGAGACCCGGGTTCAATTCCCCACTGTGACCCATCTACCCTGAGCATACTTAACCCCTAGTTGCTCCAGTGGCGTGAAACCTCTGACATGTAAAGCAAATGTAAGTCGCTAAATGAATAAATGTAATAGAAAAAACATACAATGCCTGTAATAAAAATATAAAATACTTTAAAAAATACATTATAATTACACAGTACGTAGTAGAATAAACAAAATAAATACATAAGATGGAGACCTGGTGCATCCCCATTACCCAAATGCCTGTCTAAACAGGTGTGTCTTAAGCTGACTTTTGAAAACGTCCACAGAATCAGCAAACTGTAAGTTTGTGGGCAGAGCATTCCAGATGGGTCAAACTCAAACAACACTTGAGCCTACATTTCCCATAATGCAACACAATAGCATTTTTCTTTAGACCGTCTCTGCTTCCTAAATGCCCAAATTTTTCGCACGCCACATCTCAAGATCGTAACACAGGCTTTCAATCTCAACAGTCTCAACCCCAATTCAACATAACCCTTATGACCTCACCATGACGTCAACAGGGTTCATTTCTCAGACTTGACAAAGCTCCCTCCAAAGTCAAAGACAAAGTGGTACTCCTCGTGAACGCCCCTTTTTAAAGATGACCCTGTACACTGAAAGAATGTTCTTTTCTTTGGTAAGATGGGTCAAGGGACATATCCCTTTCTCATTCCAGAGGGGTTGCTAATTAGTGGTTATTGGTAAGACTGTAACCCGATATACAGCGATGGCGGTTGGATGACTGAGTAGGCCATGGCATTCAGATAAAACTGCTTATCAAGTCAGTTGGGCTGCAGCTTAGCCTGAGCAGATACAGTAAGGCCAGGTCATGCTGCTGATCTGCTCTTTACTTGGGTGATTTTAGGATTTTAAGCTTAGAGGTACTGGACGTTAGGTCACAGCTAGAGAAAGGTATAGCAATACACATACAATTGGTACATTTTTCTGTGTATTGATAACTGACGGTATCGCTATTGGGTGTAGCTACTGTACGTTAGCTACACTCACCCAAAAGTCATGATACAGAGTGTCTATCACTTCTAGTGCACTGCAGAAAGGTCAGAACTTGAACCACTGGAAGTGAGCAAATGTTAAGTTTTTCTTTAAAGTCACAGAGAAGCAGCAACTTGTGTTTTTCTGAAGTGCTGACATTTATTTGTATACAGCATGGCAACAGAGTGAGATAAATTGTTTAAATTATCTTATGTTACCTTCCAAAATATATGGAAAACTCTGCAGGTAGAAAATATCCACTGTTGTGTATCCACAGTGATTGAACTGTCCAGTCTTTTTTTTCTTCATTTTTAGACTACATTGAGTAATATATTCTGTAGCTTTGAGGAATAAGTTCAACACCGACCAGGTATCATGTAATTAACTTTTGTCACAGGTGTCAGGTCAAATTTGAGTGACATCTCATAATTTTGTGTCTTCCTAGCTTATCTGTAAGGATTTATAAGGATGCAAACTAGCCTGGACTGCTACAGGCTAAAACTCTTTCACAGAATGACAACAAGATGTCTCCTCAGTGCAGAGATTGTTCAGCCCAAAATCAGTCTCCTCTGGCAGCAAGAGAGTAATAAGCCTCTTTGTGTACATAGATGAATTTGATTGAGTGTGTGCGCACTAACTATCTGCAAGTGTTTGATGGTCATACAAGCATGTCGCAATAGGAATTCTTGGGCACAGGGTTAGGTTTAAAGTTATGGACATATATTTTAAGAAGACATAAATTAAACAGATTGTAGTTGTACATCTTTCATTACAGAATTTGATATGTGTATAGTGAAAATATGTTTTTACCAAAATAGTGCAACATTAAAGCTGACTCTGTGCTTTCCAGTTGTAACATGATGAAAATAGATAGGCAAATTTCTTGCCTAGCCCAAATTAAAATGTAACCATTTTTTCTGTTAACCATCTTCTCTTATTATATTATATTGGGACAAAAACAATCTGTTTTACCTTGCAGGCAGAAATGTGTAACATCACTGGCAATAGTCTTGACAAGTAAAGTCCCTTCCAAATGAAAGGGCTTTACAATGTAATGAACATCAAACATATCACGTTTGTAACGCTGATGTGCAAATTACTGTTGTGCAGACAGGAGGCTATGCCTAGTTTCTAGAGGAAATTGATGTTAAACTGAACTTTTCTGAGCGCAACTAAACTCGTAGCCTAAACATTTTTATTGTTTTTTTAAACAGCTCAGTAACACAACAGATAGATGTTCTGACAGGTCAGATCATCAGCGTGATGATAGGACAGATAACTCACAATGAACATTGGTAAAAGTATGACCTACCTTGACATATTTTCTCGGTGCGGACGGTGCGTCTTTTCCAAACCTAGCTTGGTGAAAATTCCTATCAGTGCCATTATGGCCACGACCCCGCATATGACATACACAATGAGGTTGGTTTTATCCTTCGCTGTGTCCTGCGCCACATCCACTTTCGGCGGGGGTCTTCCTGTCATCATCCACGGCGGGGTGTCATAGTTCTTACAGGTGGTCTGGTCCAGCCGGGAGCTTTTAAACGCGCAGCAGAACCTGAAGCCACAGGTGCCACAGCAGTACAGGTAGCTGCCGGTCCTGCACACGAACGGCGGATCCCACTGGCCCATCACGTCGTAGTAGCCAAGGCACTTGTCCTCCATGTGCGGGCTCTCCGTGACGGTGCTCTCCCCTTCCTTTGAGTCGTTAAACCCGGTCACTAGCATGAAGTCGTCGACGGTCTCACCCGGCTCGCCCTCCGCGTCACACACCATAACTTTCACCAGAAAGTAACCGAGCAGCAGCTCAGTGCCCCGCATCGTTGCTCACTTTTTGTCCCGTTCTTCACGTCATGACAAGCACTCATAAGCCCGGACGCATCTCCCGAAGAGACGAGACACAGCCATGCGTAAATTAAATTAGGTTGATTCCAACTTCCATGCGTAAAAGCAAAGTGCGCCCCTATACTTTTCTTTCCTTGAAAAAAAAAAATTATATTGTGCAATAGTAGTTCAGGGTCTTTTCTGTAGTAGTACAAAATAGCTGTAAAGGGGTGGCATCACTTAAGTGATGCACCTGGTTGTGCTGGAGGTTGTCACACACCTCTGAGGCTTCTTCTCTCCACAGAGCGTGTCTCAGATACAAAGAGAGCGAGAGAGAGGCAATGCAAAGTACTAGAGCCCGATAAATGAGTGAATCAGGAGAAGAGAGAGAGAGCCAATGAGAGAGCATAAGAGAGCTGTGTGCAACAGCTCTAATTACAACCCTTCCATCCATGTATTATTGTGTTGAGTCTGAACATTATCTGTAAAGGTACAATCCGTGATCCAAATCACCCCAACACCAAAATTCAAAACACACAACTGGAACCAGCAGGCATTCAATAATTGATTGACAGTACTTAAATGTACTAACAACAGAAGCCACTATAGATCCAAGCTATTAATGATACTCATGTCTCATGTCTCATTGACAATCACTCACACTCAGTTACAAAGGAATCTCAAAAACCAATGTGTCAGAAATTAGTTAGGATAATGATTTAAATATATTGTAACAGCATCATATGAAGCATTTTCTGTTTCTAGCAATAATGAGCAACAGATAAACAAGTTTGTAGAAATCAACACAATAAAAATATGTTAAAGCATAACAGTTTTAGTTAGAGCTGTAACTCTTCTGGCCTCTGTTATTATCACCTCTCCCACACAGCTATAATACAAGTGATATCTAAGAAAAATGTCATTTTATCCACTCCAACAAGTTCTGTAGAGAATCCATCTTTGCAATTCTTCAAAACAGATATCAAGAACACAAGCTCACAATACAGGGTTATATATAATGTATGTGGACACACAGTATGGCAATATGTAGCCACTGCAGGGTGTTCAAAACCTGTTTTGGTCAAGCTTAATTTAAATGCACTCAGATTGGTTATCAGCCTGATTTATATAAATGAGATATACTACACCAACTGGTGCAACTCACAGGCGTTCAATCTTGTCCAAGGAATATGTTTTTGAAATACAGCCTGAATACTATTACTACTGCTGGTAAGATTTTTTATGTATACAATTAAGATCTGAGTTAGTTAATTACAATAATCTTCTCAAAGGGACTTTAATCATATGCACAGCACTTTATTGCACTGTTCATTTCATGCAACAGACCATATGTCAACCATACACTGTCAGCTATTAATTACTGATCTTTTACAAACCGTAATAGACGACGAAGGGGCCTTGACAAGCACGGATCTGCACAAAAGCTAGTTTATTTTTGTTATTATTATTTATTTATTTTTATTTAAAATTATGATTGGTGAAAGACTCTCCACCTGCCACTTGAGAAATCTTTTTTACTTTGATGTTGAATCGTCTTAGCCATGGGAGGCTACTTTTATTTACAATTGCCTGTCAGGGGAGCTTTTGCTTGTCTCGTCTTTGTGCATCTTTAAAGTTCCCTATAAATAGTTTGCACAGTCCCCAAGGATGAAACTTTAGAGTTCCTTTAAAGTGAAAATACTATAGCTTTAGTAGTACCAGATGAACTGCAGACGGTGACATTTCATTTAAATGTTCTATTGCAAAGTGTAAAATAGTGATTGATTGTCAAATTAAACAAACACATTGTAGTTTAGTTGCTGTTTATACCTTCAACCAGTTGGTATTCTCTTAGTGTTATTGCCACCCTCTGAGACATTGTTGATGAGTCACTATTTTTATGTTATACATCATACAGTGACATTAACAAAAAAATCTAGTAGTTTTTTAGTCCCAATTATAATCTCCACCAATACAGTAAATCTTAAAATTGAGTACATGAATAAAATCTAATATTAGCAATGCTTGTACAGTGTCTTCATTGGTTTTATTTTGAATGTTTTCAGTAGTTGCCCACATTTTGGTGTTGATTAGATTGTTCTGTACTTTTATATTGTGTTTACAATGTTATATTCTTACTGTTTTTGTGTATGAGGCACCAAGTTTGACATTTCAAATGTCACGTTATATTTAAATAAATAAGGAATAAGATAAGTACAAAATGACATTGTTCACCAAAATAACTTACCAGCACTGATAATGGAATGGCTGTATGTGTTGGATGTTTTTGAAACAGAAAAGGGTGACATATTTCTGCAGGACTACTCTGAGACTACAGTAATCAGATATGTAATTAAGTATATGTACACTCGACAAAACTGTTGCATGACAACTGAAGGACTGTTGCAGGTGCATCCTTGCCAAAAATGTAGTGTCTCGAGTCGTTCTGTGCCATGCTTTTGGTGGGAGCAGGTGGGTAGATGAGTGTTGTAATTCTGCTCAGACAGGGAGAGAGGCTGATTAAATGCTCACACAGTGGGGAATTTTAATGTTATCCCTCTCTGTTAAATTTGAGTAATGCAACTTTCACATGGATCGGCTCAGGCCTGAGACAAAACATAAATGATAGTGTGCTGTTCCAGTGTGTTGTAGGGGTGTCTTCCCCAAAAGGAATCTATAAAACACCTGTATTTATACTGTGATATCAATGTCTTTAGGAGAACTTTTCTTTTAACCTTGACAAAAAAATGGAAACATAAATATTTTATGGTCTTGTTAGTCAAAAGGATTTAAAAAAGAACTCCAAAATATCTTTGTACATAGATGTATGTACATTTACAATTTTCTGAAAGGCTAGACATTCAAGCCCGACTGATATGGGATTTTAAGACTAATACTGATTTTGATATATCGGACTATATTAGTTTCTTTTTCTTATCCCTTACATTTGTTACGTGTAGTTATGAGACGTTAACAAGATAACATGACATAATGCAGTTTAAAAACTTTTGTTAGTGTTGTGAATAGTTACAGTCGATTATGTCAGCTTCATATTGTGTTTTGTGGTGGATTTGTGGCAGTGTGTTGCCAACAGCAGAGTGCTTTCTGGTGGTCAAAGATACTTATTTATCTGCAATTAACTCATAACGGCCTGGTTCTACTAGACATATACACCTTCTAAGACATTTTCTGTTTATTGTGTTCTTTAAGCAGGCAGCCCAAGCTCCTTGATTATACTTTCAGTTTTATATGGAGTGAAGGATCAGGTCAATTAGAATATGGTACAGTCAAAACTGTAAAATAAATGTGTGGTAAGTCACATTTACACCCTGTGTGAACAGCAGTGTGACTATATGGTAAAGGGCTTTTGATGTTGCTTCAGTTATGTTAAAAGTAGGAAGAACTGCATATTCATACTTTAAAATTTCTATAACAAATGTTTGACATACTTGAATTGCTACTTTTACATCTGTTCTGTGCATGCTAGTCTAGTCCAGTCTAGTCAAATCCTGCTCATTAGGGCTCTGTATTTATCTGTTCTTCATAAGCAATTGCTTTTACATCCGTCATTTTAACATCAGTGTTTTGAACAGGTTGAAGGGAGTCACATTTCAAAGGTGTGCTTTCCAGAATTAGATTAATACATTTTCAGTGGAGAAGTAAATCCACATTTGCTCCTTCATTATTAATAAACAATTCCGCTATCCAAGAAATAAAGTTATTTATAGGGATCCCTCCCTAGAAAAGAAGCATCCACCAAGCTTTTTTTGTTCACCAGTTGCAGTTACAGCCTTTAAAAACACTACTTTCTTTCTGTTTACAGCACCATGAGGTTTTCAACAAAGAACAAAGTAGTAGCAAACTAGTAAAACCTTTTATAAGTTCATAGATAACCCCCTAGAGGTAATCCTTTTATTTCAAGTAAAAACATGAAAATCAACAACAATGTAAGGGTTTTATCTAATGGCAGCTAATGTTTCTCAGATGTCTCGGGAGTTTTTGTTGTTAACATGCTGACATTTCCCATTCTGAAATATCAGTGTTCATTACTGCATCATACTCTATTATCTCAGTGTTTGGATAGGTTTAAAGGAGGCTACTTAATGACAAAATGCTGTTGCGTTATATAAGCTACTTTGCCTTCATTTGGCATCATTTTGATCATCAGATGAAATATCTGTGACAAATTCAACATTTCAGTCACTTTCTGGTGAAAGTGACCCATATTGTTTTTGCGAGATTTACGTCACAACAGTAAAAGGTTTGCAGCTACATTTCAACAGATTTGAAAAAGGTTGTGAAATCAGTATACAGCAGAAGTGTCATGCAGATGGTCTTTTGTCATGTGACCCCAGTGTTATGGCCTCTGCTCGCAGCTGTATGAGTTATTCATGCCGGCGTAGCTTGAAGCTCTCTGCTTCAAAGTGAGACACACAAACAAATGTACATGACCTTCTGATTTGACTTTCTCAACTCTGTGGTTTCTTTTCATCTCCATATTCTCTTGATAGTGGATGAACTGCTCATTGTTCTAATATGACATCATGTGGAGTCTTAGTGGGAGATAGATAATATTATGAATAAAGAGGTTCAAGCCAGATAAAAGGGTACAATGTTATAGCATTGGACTGACTGAAACTAGTGGGGAAGACTTCATCAAGTTGATCACATTTGCTTTAAAGTAAACCGCTAACCTGACTCTGTCTAAAAGTAACAAAATCCAACCACAATCACCCCTAAAGTTTACTAATTAACATGTTATATGCTGTTTCTTTAATCCATCCAAAAACCAAAGTGTACAAACATTTACAGTTTTACAGGGGGCTATGTAGTGAACTTTATCTTAGCTAGGCATAGTGAATCACTGAAGTCTTGTCATCAAAGTGATTTTGCAAGCAGAGACTGCGCCTGATTAAACAAACAAGATATAGTGTTAATTAGTTTGAGCCAGACTAGCTGTACCCGTTTCCACTCTTGATGCTAAGCTAAGTTAACCGACTGCTGGCTGATTGTACAGAGTTGAGAATGGCATCAATCTTCTCATCTAACTCTCGGCAAGAGAAATGTCTAAATATTTAAATATTAGCAGTGTCATTTGATTAAAACAGATACAGGCTTCAGAGTTAATTTACTGCTATAAAAAACAACAACTTATTTATCCCCTTTGGTGCACCAAAGTCACTAAAACTCAAGGGTCCGTGACATCTGAAGGATAATCATTGGACAAAACTTTTTAACATTTAGCTGTAAATCTGAAAGGCTTCTTCGATTTATTGTCGGGAATAGTATCAGTATTTATCCTTGTGAGGCAATCATAGCGTTTTTAGTCCT